TACTATTTGCCATTGGAAGTTTGTTATGTCGTAAATAATGTAATGTTTATACCCTTGCAGGGTATGTTTATTTTGTCATTCCATTTGTAACTCTTTGAAAAAATTATTTTAAACCCAAGTCATATGTATATTCTTGATCGGCGTACAATTTTCCGTTGATTATATCAAGTACGTCCGTCTGTCTGTTGTAATCACGTCCTGCGACCGGAAGCTGATATTTTGCAAAGCAGGTCAATTCGAAGACGTACAATATTGATCCACGATGTTGGGTAGCCCCCATATAACGGTACCTCCCGATATGCGGTTTATAGACTTAGATTCAACCACATTTTCAAATGAAATTGCTTCATTCAATTCGATATTTAGTGTTGGCAATGTTAACTACTTATATTGGCTGAATATTGTCTACATACATAGGCCAACGTTTTTCTATATCCCCAACACAGCGGTACCTCCCGATATTCGATATTTTTACGATTGAAGCCATATTTTCTAACGGAATTGGGCTTTTAAAGTTCCTAGTCGGATCTACTTATGGTGGCAGAACATTGTCTATATATGTCCACGTTTACCTCAGGATATTTGGCATTTTAACGGTTTAAGCCTCATTTTCCAACACATATTTTTCAAATGCAGAATTTATTGTTATACTACACTACACCACAAGGTGGTCAGGGTATTATTACTTAGTTCAAAGTCGATTTATGCATGTCCGTCCGTCTGTCTGTACATGTATTTTTGTAAAAAAAACGTACAGGTCGCATTTATTGTCCGATCCAGATGAAATTTTACACAAGTCATTTGTTTGACCCAAGGAAAGAAAAATTGGAGATAATCGGTCAAAATTTAGATGTAGCTCCCATATAGATCTTCTTCCGATTTGCCTTTTATTGTGCACTAAACGTGTACTTTTAGCCAAAATAGTATGGAATTTTGCATATACAATCAAATAAAGCATGGAAATAATTATGCCAAATTTGATCGAAATCGGTTCAGATATAGGTAAAGCTCCCATATATATTGTCCATCCGATTTGATATTTTTGTCCTCCCTAGCCATAATATGCACCAACGATATTTGGATAAATATATTAAATACAGCACAGAAATACATTTCCCAAATTTTATCGAGATCGGTTGCACCAAACGTGTAATATTGGGATGAAATTTGGCACTTACGACCTAATTGAGCCTAGAAACAAGTATATAACATTTAGAGAGAATGGGTTCTGATCTAGCTATAGCTCCCGTATATATTGTTGATCCTATTTGTTACATTTTGTATTTGTTATATAAGACTCTACTAAATATGCAAGGGGGTGTAGGGTATCATGAAGTCGTTGCCTTCCGACATTTAGATTTTGTTACGGGTTTTGTAATGGAAAACCCTCCAGGTGGCTGAACATTGTCCACATTAGTCCAAGTTTTTTTTTACTCGATATTTTTATGTTTTTTTAACTTTGGTATCTAAGATTCGCAAAAGCCTACCATTCAATAAACTTGAAAAATTTCCAAAAATTCAGTCGAAAATTACCCCTCAGAGGAAAACTATTATATGGCGGCTATATGAAGACGTGGTCCTGCATATTTAGTCTGTTGCCATAGGGGTAGTGCCCATCACGAACTTTAAATACGAAATAGGCTCTAGTACCCACTACGAACTTTACATATGAAATTTGAGACTATTTCGGTAAAATGGGGGCTATACGATATCGTGGACCGCTGTAGGTCATGTTCGAACTTGACCTGTCTGTAGACAGAAGACTGATCTGTGCAAAATGTTAGCTTCCTATCTTAAGTCGTTTTGACTCTATTGTGATTACAACAGACGTCTTATTTTACGCTGATCAAGAATATATATACTTTGTTAAGTCTAAAATTATTATTGAGATGAGTTACGAACGAAATGACGAGCTTAATATACCCTCCATACTATGTACGGTACGCAGATTAAGTAATTGTCAATACAATGCCATGGCATGCAGTTGTCAGTCGCTTAGAAGAGATCTTTGCTGTGTTTGAAGACCCTGTATCAATTCTCATTCGGACCTTCCCGGAGAAATGTTTCCCAATCGGTAAAACGAAATAATGCTGTGTTCGATATTCATTAAAAAGCTTCCCCCCCAACAAATAATACGCATATAAATTATTATGGGAAGTACTTGCGATTTGATATACAGTCTTTGGTTTTATCCTGGCATACGAAATCCAAGTTTTTTTATCCTGGTATTTTACGAAATCCAAGTTGAAAAGTATCTGTCGCATATACAATTATTACGTGTTGCTTTGTCAATAAGTCATCGAATAAGTGGAATCTGGAAATATTATAAAGCCTCTAGACATGGTCAGTAAATGTCTGATCTCTTCGTTTGATACTTCCAATTGTCTTAAAATCTGTTGCCAACCATTGGTGCCCGGATCTCTCACTGACCATTTTGTATAATTTACGTACAATTACAACCTTCTTCGTTAGAGAAGACAACCTATTATTAAAAGTAAAAGAAGCAGCAGCATTCCATCCAATAAAAAAAAAGAAAAATTCAAATTTCAAATCACAAATGAAGTTTTCGGATTATCATATACTAGCTGACCCGGTCCGCGTTGCCGGCCCGTAGTTTTAGTCTTTAATGCAACTTTTGTATAGCATAATATTTCACAAAGCTCATAAAGGTGAACAAATTTTAACATAAATATTGATCCGACTAAATAGAAATATGGAAGGAGGGCAAAATAATTTCTGAATAGTCAAAGTTAATTACGCTTTTACACCCATTACCATAGCACCTCAAATTGCGCATTACAATCCCCAAAAAGTCTATGTTCTTGTTCATAGTAAAATTCAATGACGATTAAACAATGCCCGTGTTGTTGTCAGCCAATCGGTAAAAATCACTATAGATCGGCGCCCCTGGGGACCATATGGGGACTGTACCAAAATTTTTACCTAAGTTGACATTTTTCTGTAAGATGGTTCTCTACTTACAAAGTAGCCTAAATACAGCAAAATCGATTGGAAAATGTGGTCAAGACCCTCGAAGTAGAAAAGCCAAGATGCCCAATAAAGGCCAAATCAGTTGAAAAACGTGGCCAAGACCACGGTCATAGAGCAAATCAGGGATACATTCATATGAGGGTTATACCAAAACGTAGCCCAACCAATATTCTCTTGGGGGTTACAAATTCAATAGAATACAAAATTTTCTTTTCTGACCACACATTAGATGTGAAAGTGGACTTGGGGATACTCCAATGTGGGGACTTTACTTAAATAAATTCATATATGGCAATTTCTGTATGACGGTTCCCTACCCCAGGGTAGCATAAATACAATTTTTCAGCCAAATCAATTGATGAATTTTGTTCAAAACCAATATGGGCCCTACTCTGAAAATTTCAAAATTTGTGCGAAGGGGTTCTCTACCCCCATTAGAAATAAGGATGCCAAATAAGGGCCAAAAAATGAAAAAACGGCCAAGACGCCAAAAATACCTAAAATAATACGATGGTTATATAAATATGAAATCTGTTGTACCCTTATCCGTGAGTTATGATCGATATCATGACCTGCAAAAGCGATTAAAGGTATCTTGAATGTTTGGGAAGAATTTCTGGAAGGATAGAAATCCGTTTCTTACTAAAAGTCCCATTCCTAAAAGTCCCATTCGCTCTACTATTTTGCACCCTTTATATTTGGTATTTTACTGATTGTACTCCCAGAGAATTGTGCATTTTGAGCTCTCTTTGGACGGATTATTGTCACATGAAAGAAGTAGGTCCAGGCTTTGAAATGAGCCCCATTAGGCTTTTTCGGTCATTTTTGTTTGTTGAAATGTGTTCGCATCTTCCAGCTGAACCACGATGTAGGCCCTGGAGTTTAAAGGTAGATGTCAGTTAACATCGTATTTCGCACTTATTTCATTTTTTGGTGAAAAATTATATATAGTGAAAAATTATTCTTTATTTTGTTCACAAAAAATCCATTGAATTCAATATGATAATACAAATTGAAAAAATTGACAAAAGAAGAATAACAAATTGAAAAAATCTTCAACTTGTTCGCTGATTTTTTACAGCAAATGTTTAAAGATCCTTACAAAGTTTATCAATAGAATGTACTATTATTTTAAAATTCGATTCCATTGAATTTTTTTCGATTTTTTCCCGATTTGAGAATTTTTGCAATAAAATCGCTGTTTTCGTGATTTTTAGCGATTTTCAAAAACTAATTATCTTTTTTTACTTTGATGTGACCGCGTTAGATTATTTCGATATCATCTATTCCGTTTCGCCACCACATAATTCGGTACTGCACTTCCATGTAACCCGACATCAATGTCAGTTCTCAAGAAATCAAGTCAATTAAGTAAATTGGTATTAATATTTGAATTCAAAAATAAAATATAAAAAAACACTACAAATGTACATTAGAAAAAAGTAAGTCAAAATGGAAAAAAATCATGCAAAATAAAACATTACTATTGTACATTTGAAAAGTCAAAATGAAAATGTTAATATATCACATTTTTACGCGATTTTTTTTTTTGGACATTATCCTTTTCGGAGAGGAGGCAATTCCAAATTTGTGCGAATCGTTAAAATCAGTCCAGCGGTTCTTAAGTTATAAGCGTAGTAACTAACACAACTTACATTTATATATATAGATTATTTAATTCTAGATATAAACAGTTTATTATCGTTTTCAAAAATAATAAATAAATAAATAACTTTCATTGAAAATTATATATTTTTCTTATTTCGTAACATTGTGAAATGATGAGAGTCGCCAATTATGTTGAGTGAGTGGTTTTCCATTGTTAAGATATGTTTCGACGATTTTTGCTACTTCATAAAGAAATTGCTGAATCATTTTCACTACCAATTCAAATGAGATTCATGCCGACATGTTCCGGTTCAGAAGATGTCATGACAACCATTTGACTACCTAAATTAACATAGCAACAAATACTAATGTATACTTCTCCTCTTAAACATTTATTTCAGATACTTGTTACCAACCGGAACAAGGAGACAGTGCTATTATAAGTAAGTATGAATGTAATATCCCAATGGAATTACAAAATAGGTTAAGGATATACCACGCATAATTTTCCTGGAGTTCGCTTGTATAGTACGTTGTTTATTTCTTTTCATTGAACAAAATGCAGTTCTATAGCGGAAACCAATTAAGCTAACTAATCCTTAGTTCAAAATCTGAAGATGTTATCACCATTTCCATAGTAGTAATACATTTCGTCACCATTACTAACACATGATTTGAAGCGTATACCAACCACACTGTGTTCTAATTGTAAATTACACAACAACAACTCTTTAAATCCGGAAGTGATTTGTGCAATTGGTTGCACTCGGATAGTTGGTTTATCAGATTGCTTAACTACAAAATTCAGTTAAAAGGTAATGTCATATTGTCTCTATTTAAAGCTGCAAGCTTTATACTTTGCCGTATTACCCATATACGCCAGAACAATATTAACCTGGTATCCTTTAAAATTGTAACAATTTGTGTCTTTTAATACTAGCTCTACATAAGCAATTTGAGGGAGAACTTTTGACAATTATCTTGCTGAGAGTTTGCAAATTCTTGCCGAACAAATATCTACTTGAAATGAATTCCTGTCATTTATGTTTTTTAAGCAGCTTGAAAACATTTTTCGTTTGGACATCGCAAGCCTAAATATTTGTTTTTTTATTTTTTGGTGAACAAAGTTGTAAAATGGTTCGTTCTTTTACGCTCATTTCCTTTTGAATAAAAAATAGAAAAAAAATTTGACGCTATTTATGGCAGACAAATTGTTTAAACAAAAAAACTGTTTGCTCACAGGTTTTTACGGAGTTCTGAAACTACCTTACACTATGAGAAAAAAAACCAGTAAAGAAAGTCTTAAAGTCGGGCGGGCCGACTTTATGATACCCTACACCACTTTGCTAATTTAGTAGAGTTCCGCATAACAATTAAAAGTTTTTATGGAAGAATTCAATCATACACGCTATGATTATAATTGTAATTTAAAGTTCAAAGGACTAAATATGCCGAAGCATTTGAATCTTTTAAATTCGGACTTGTATTGTCCATTTAATGCACAATTAATTTGAAATCGGATAAAGATATATAAGGGAGCTAAATCCAAATCTGAACCGATCTCGATACAACTTTGCATATATATTTCTGAGCTGTATTTGATATATTTCCCTGAATATTGTTGTTACGGAGTGCATATTACGACTGTGGGTAACAAATATAACAAATCGGATGAACAGTATATATGGGGGCTATAGCTATATCTGAACCGATCTTCACCAAATTTAACATAGACTCAATTTGTCGTAAGTGCCAAATTCCATCCCATTTGAAGAAATATTAGACGTTTGGTGCACAATAAAAGGTAAATCGGACGAAGTTATATATGGGTGCTATATCCAAATCTTAACCGATCTCGATAAAATTTAGCAAAGGTATTTCTGAGCTGCATTTGATATATTTCCCCAAATATTGTTGTTACAGAGTGTATATTACGGCTGCGGAAGACAAAAATAACAAATCGGATGAACAATATATATGGGAGCTATAGCTATATCAGAACCGATTTCGATTAAATTTGGCATACTTATTTGTAGACTTAATTTGGTTGTATGTGCAAAATTCCTTACTGTTCGGGCTGATATTACACGTTTGGTGCACAATAAAAGGCTCTATCTAAATTTTTACCGATTATCTCCAATTTCAATAGGGTCCTTGGGCCAAACTAATGATTTATGCAAAATTTCATCTAGATAGGACAATAAATGCTAACTGTACTTTGTTTACAAAAATACATGAACAGACGGACATACATAAATCGACTCAGAATGTGATTCTATGCAGATCATCAAAAGGAACTATGGGTCTATCTCGTTTCCTTTTGCCTGTTACAAACAAATGCACAAAGACATAATACCCTGACCACCTTGTGGTGTAGGGTATAATGATGGACAATTCTCGCAGGTAAAGCATACATTTCATTTTTAAAATTGTCTCAATTGTAATTTTTTTAATTCGAAATATTTGCATTTTTAACTTCGTCATTCCGTTTGTAACTCCTCGAAATATTTATAATAGACTCTACAAAGTATATATATTCTGGATCAGCGTAAAATTCTAAGACCATCTTGCGTGTAATCACGCTATCTTTCGACGAATACCGGAATTATTTCAAATCTCATATTTAAAGTTCGTAATGATTTGTGCGACATTATTTACCGTATTGTATCAAATTTAGTATTAAATGTTCGTAATGGGTACTACAGCCTATGACAAAAAAATCGTATGTAGGTTCACGTTTTGATGATTTTTGCGACACAATTAACCGGAGTTGTTTCAAATTTGGTATTTGAAGATCGTAATGGGTACTACAGCCTACAAAAAATTTCGTAAGCAGTTCCAGTCTTCGTATAGTCTCCATATAACAGTTTTCATTTAAATGGTAGTTTCCGAAAGTTTTTTGAAAATGTTTAAGTTCCTTCCAAATGTTGGACGGTATTAAAAGTTCAGCCCGGCTGAACGTAGCTGCTCTTTTACTTGTTATTTATAACACGCACAATTGAAACAACCTTAATGTCCATTGGGACGAATTTTAAGTGCCTCACGAAGTAAAGAAAATATTTAAGAATAAAACAATCGGGATTTAATATTCTATCGAGTTTCATTTTTGCCAGTAAAAGCGGTTGAAGATTGTAGCAAGTCTTCCGAACACCATAAAAGCTGCAACAAAAGTTATTATTTATTCTGGGATTTAAATATGAAATTTGAAACTATTATCTTGAAACATGTGGCTAAAATATCAAATATTTTGAGTCATAACAATTTGAGGGTAGACGAAAACGTACACCTATTCAGGCTACCTACTGCCATAGGAGATTGATCCCATTACAGACTCTACGTACCGAATGTTTTAACGATTCCGCTAAATACATGTGTCCAAACATTCAGAATACCGAATATCGGGAGCTTCCTTTATTAGCCAGGACCCGTCAATTTTAACTAATCAGGAACTTTGTACGTTTAAGTTTTAATGTCCATGTAGATTGTGCTTGTGAGCTACACTGAGGGAAAAATCCCGTTGCGAAATCAAGCACGTATGTTGTCATTTTCGCAACGACCCGTTGTTATATTTTTCAACAACGGCTGTTGGTGAATTGTGCACGAACGTGCTCAAATTGACACCGAGACGTGGTCAACTTTCGGTACCAACAACAGCCGTGCTTAATTTGTCCATTTGTAATATTGGTAATTGCAGCCGATTACACACGAGTAAAAAATGACAACGGTGGTGCATGATTCACACACGGTCGTTGTCAATATGACACCGGTCGTGTATGAATTATGCACCACCACCTGCATAATGATGCACCACCGTTGTTACTTTGTACACCGACGTGCATGAATCGTACACGATCGTTGCCATTTTAGCAACTACCGTGTATGAATCATGCACCACCGTTGTCATTTTTTTTACTCGTGTGCAATCGGCTGCATATTTACCATTTTTTCCGTGTTATTGAAAGAGAAAGGACGCATTGTGCAAAAAATTTATTGAAAATGAATAATAATTCGCAAGATCCTCAAAATATCATTGGTGAGTTGTTAGAAATCGATGGCAATATTGTTGTGGTTCGCGATACAAACCATTGCAGCAGTCAAGATGCGGAAAACAATGAGGACGATTATATGTTAAGGGAGTTCTTAAAAGGAATAAATATGGAGTCGCTTTTTGAACAATTAAAAGGTAAGTAAATAAAAATGAATTTTTCAGTTAATCAGTGTAATTAACAAAGAATTTTCTTTTTTGTTCTTTTAGCATCACATGTAACATTTCGCAGCTTGCAGTACTTGAAAAAAGAAGATTTAAAGGAAGCAGTGCCACCATTGGGACTGCGTGTTGAATTCAGAGAAAAGCTCTTTGCTTGGAAAAAACGAAAGGTACGTATTATTTGTTTTACAGAGTTGAACTCAGTATTAATATTGTCATAACAATAGCTCGGGATTGATGACGAAACTATGTCAGTTCCATCTAAAATAGGTGAATGGTGGAAACGCAACGAGACACCTGCAAGTACTCCTGGTACTCCCGACACTACAGGTTCGAACTGCTCAAAAGCCAAAGGAATTTTGTCAGAGGTAAGGTAAGAGTAATATTTGTGTAAGCATAGTTAATGTAGTTTTTTTATTTAATATAGGATCTAACGGAATTGTTAACACATACCTCGAAGGGGAAACTAGCGCTTGAATGTAGTAGCGTTAATAAGAAATTAAGTGACGAGCAAAGAGATGATATAATTAATATAATTATTGAAGATATTTTAACCAACAATGTTACTCTTTACACTCAAGACTATATGCGCATATTGGATGAAATTTGTTCCGTTTTTCCTCTTGAAAACGAAATGAGGGTAAGATTAACAATATAAACAACGTATCTGATTATGTAGTTTCTTAACTTATAATATGTCTTTATTTTTAGGATTATTATTACATTTCAAGAAAAGGAAAGAACAACGCAAGCGGAAAACTTTATGCCAAGTATAGAAACAAGAAGTCCAAAAGAATAAAGCTTTTGATTTCCGAGCCTAGCACAAGCAAAGCAGCAACTCACACATCTCCTAATTTTTGTAACAAAGATGTTCCCGAAATTGATGAATCAGTTGAAAATTCATTGAAAGCTTCCTTACTAAGAGAATGTAATGATTGGGGATCGATCTGCGAAAAATGGAAAAGATCTTTTAACATACGGCAAAGAGATATAAAAAATTTAAGTAGCCATACATTTCTCCTTGAATGGACGAAGTTGTCCGATGCAAGAGCTTCAGAATTGGTAAGTAGCCATGAGCTATTTATTTGTATATGGATACTAATGTTTCGTTTTAGGTCAACATTGATTTCGATATTATGTATCCACAGAAAGGCAATCTTCTACTTTCTAAATGGGACCAATTTAAGAAAAAAATTTACAATTATTATGGGAAAAATATTCATAACGAACATTGCAAACAACTCTTCGCAAATGTTTTGACGGCAAGCAGCATAGGTAAATTTTAATTCCTGATTTATCATAAACATTAAAAGTAATATTTATTTTATATTTCGGTTGCAGATGCTCAAGATTATATATACGCAATACTGTTGAATTCAGTTTTACCATCACCTGCTAGGTTTAAATGTGGAAACGGTAAATTACGAAAAAAAGTAACAATAGCTGATTCGCAGGAAAGTTTCGTACTGCGACTACCGACAATTAACGATTATAAAAGGCAAATTGATACAGTCACTGAAAAGTATTACAATGCTGGATTAACTATACAGCCATTTATAATTGTGGAGGGTTTGTCCGATTTCAATATAAAAGGTTTTTATGTTTTTTTTAACCACAATTTGTTAAAATTTCAATCGTTCCTCGAATGTTTAGATACATGTTTTAAAATTTTTCATGCACTTTCTTTAAAATGTCCAAATGCCTGCCAAATTCCATGGATTTTTATCCAAAAATATTTTTATGAAATTAATACTGTATATGATATAAAATCAGTTAATTTGACTTCACTTATTAATTTCTGCAACAATAATTAAAGTACAATTCAAAATGTATATTTGCTTTCGTTGCCGTAAGCATTTTGATAAGGCAAATCTTTTAATAGCTCATTTGAAAACAGACCATTTAATGTCCACTAAATTTTTAAAAGTACAATGCGTTCAGGACAACTGTAAGCAAACATTTACAAAATTTACGTCATTCAGAATTCATTTAGAAAAACTTCACAAGAATCACACAAAAGCTCCACCAATGGTTAAAGCCATTAATGTGCCAGTTGAAATGTCATCATCAAAAGAAAATGATTATACAAACAGTGAAACTGTTATTAACAACAATACAATAGAAAAGGATTTAAATGTTTTGAAAAAGAAAACCTTATATCTGTCTTTACAATTACATGGTCAAAGCTATATGCCTAGAAATCATGTTATAGAAATACAACATTCTGTTTCAATTCTGCTTTCATCCATTTCATGTACAATTGAAAAATATATAACTGATCATCCAAATTATGAAGACTTAAGGTACTTACTAAACTTTTGTAAAAATCCTTTCGAAGAAACTAGAACGGAATATAGACTTTTAAAAATTTTAAAAGAACTAAACTTTTATGATGATCCAAAGGTTTATGTAATTAGCAATCAAGTCTCGGAAATTGTTATCAGCGGAAATCCCAGTTTAGGTCCAAAGTTATCCAATATTTATATAATGCCACTGAAATTCATGATAAGTGCCCTTTTTAAAATTCCAAATCTCTTAGATTTGACATTAGAAAACTCCAAAAAATTCCTAAATTCACCTGTTTTACAAAATTTTACAAACGGTGAGTTATATAAAACTAAATTATTAAAATATCAGTACAATTTAGTTATTCCCTATGTCCTTTACATGGATGATTTTCAAATTAATAATCCTCTTGGAACCCATACATTTTCCATATGTGGTTGTTATATTAGCTTTCCTTCAATGCCACAGCACTTGTTGTCAAAACTTGATTATATATTAACTGCTGCGTTTATACCATCAAAGGATTTAAAAGAACGTGGAAATGAAGTTTCATTTCACAATCTTGTAGAAGAGTTAAAAATTCTAGAAGAAGGGGTTGAAATTTGTGTTCAACAAAGTGTTCAGAAGGTGCATTTTATTTTAGGTGTAATTATTGGAGATAATTTAGCAGTTAATAGTATTTTAGGCTACGTGCAATCATTTAACTCTAAAAGATTTTGCCGGGTATGTAGAAGAAAAAAGTCCCAAATGCAATTCGACGCAATTCAGCATTTAGATAGTTTAAGAAACCAAGAGAATTACAACTCAAATGTATTGGAAAATAATTTTCAAGAAACAGGTATTAAAAACAAGTGTATCTTCGAATCTTTACCAAATTTTAACGTCACTGAAAATTTTTGTTTTGATATTATGCATGACATTTTCGAGGGCATATGTGTCTACGATATGTCTAATGTAATTCTCGGGCTGATTCAAGAAAATATTGTTACGTTAGATTGTATTAACAGCAGAAAATCTTTATTCCAATTTGGAGAAATTGAAGTGGGAAATAAATCTGGACCACTAGATTTATGTAGATTGAAAAACTATAACTTAAAAATGACAGCTAGTGAAACTATGTGTTTTACTAATTTTTTACCTTTAATGGTAGGCGATTTAATTCCTTTCTCCAACGATCACTGGAAAGTTTTTATAATATTATTACAAATAATCGATTTACTTTTAAGACCAAGTTATATAGAAGACGATTTAATAAAATTGGAAGAATTAATTAGAGATCACCATTCACTTTATATAACATTATACGGTTCGTTAAAACCGAAACACCACTTTCTTGTCCACTATCCCACAGCTATCCGAAAATGTGGTCCCCTTAAATATCTCTGGAGCATGAGATTCGAAGCTAAACACAAGGAAGCAAAAGCCTATTTAGGAAATACTACATCAAGAGTAAATCCCTGTCGTTCATTATCTATTAAGTCTGGATTGAAATTTTCCAATTTTTTATTAAAACACGAAGATAACTTAGAACCAAATGTTATCATTAATACGCATACCATCGAAGATTTGGCAAAAGAGGAATATTGTTACAAAAAAAGTAAGCCAGTTTTAAATTACCAAAATTGCAAAGTGTCTGATGACATTTTTTTTAAGGGAACTAGGTATAAAAAAAACTATTATTTAGCAACAAATAATGCCGCAATTGAACTTTTCAAAATTAAACATTTAATAATTGAAAATGAAAATGTTTACATTTTATGTAACCAAGTAAAAGTTAAAAACTTTGATTACCATTTACAATCGTATGAAGTTGGTTCTCTGAATGAGGATACAATTTTTTTAATACCAATTTTAGATTTTATTACTTACCCATTTCACTTATATCCTATGAATAATGGAAAAGTTTATTTCAGATTTAAGTTAATTTAATTTGTTTCTATACATTGAATATATGTAATTCGAATTGTTTTGTTAAATCAAATATGTATTTATATTGAATTTATGTAATTGGTTTCGTTCAATAAAATACTTTTCAAAAAATGTCGTTTCTTCTACTAAGGGTATAAAATGGAAAAGGAACGGATATCAAAAAATGACCACCATTGATTTCAATCTGACAACGGGCGTTGACAATCCGACAACGGAGCGTTGACAATCTGACAACGAAGCGTTGACGATCTGACAACGAAGCGTTGACAATCTGACAACGGGGCGTGCTCGAAATGACCACGTATGTGCTCATTTCATGCACATCTGTTGTTGAAATCGTTGCCAAAATCTCGGTGTCAAAATGACAACAGCGTGCTCATTTTGACACCAAACGTGGTTGATACACTATCATACACGGATGTGGTCATTTCATACACGGATGTTGTCATTTTTTCTCTGGGTGTACTGACGCCTATGGAGGGTCTTTAGAGGCAGATCCCGCTCTAGTTAGCAGATTAGCGAAAAAATTTCGTTACCAACCTGACCTGGGATTCAGGTAAGAAATACTGTGGAAAAATGCCCTATTTTATAATGTTCTTCTCTACGTTCTTTCAATAGCTTTGATGTGACAGAATTGAATCCAATGTTAGGAGCGCCATTTGACTGTCGATAAATATTGCTATTGAGTTCGGTTATTTTATGGTCAGTATCACCGCCTGAAAACCCCTGCAGTCTTCAAGTGGCATTGTGCTTCTTCTTCCGAATATACACCAGATAAGACTCTATCGTTCATCTTGGGGCCTTCCGTGTATACCTTGGGGTCGTAACAAATTAGTTGTGTTCTGTTATTCCATTCTTTTCTGCTTGGAAATTCAACTCTAAAAGGCTGATCAAAGTTATTGCTGGTGTGCGGTAATCAGGATTAGTTGATATTTTTCTCGGTAGTTTTAGAGCACCCAGGCATGTCCGTAAGCTCTGTCCCTTCACATTCTTTTTGCATTAAAAGCCACACTTGCTTTGATGTGTAATCTATTGGCAGAATAGGCATCATTGCATTGAGGACAAGTTCTCATTACCCCTGTCACCCCATGCATACGAATTTTTATATGCTGTATAGTTTTTTTTCTGAATTGTTTTCTTTCGAACTGTTTGGTTCATATTAGACTACGTTCCATTCGTCTGGACCGAAATTTTTATAAACTCCACCAAAGCATGTCAATTGGACTATACTCAAAACCTCCAAAATGTGTCTTATAAAAATTACTTGTAAATAGGTGCAAATTTTTGGAAAATGTGGAAATATGCGTGGAGTACCAGATGTAGCGGACCGAAATATTCCACTTCACATAATACAGATAAAAATATTGGTATGTGCAAAATTTAAAGGAAATCGAACATTTGCATCCAATTTTATACGAAATCATAAATTCCGATCAATTACATATTCATATCAGATTATATAAAGTTATATAAAATCGCCGACTTGTTTCGCAATTATGACAGATATAATTATTGGAAATTGTGACCCCTTGTGGTTGAGGTACCAGAACGGGTTGGCAGATATCTATCATCTTCACAACAGATTTTGCGTTAGTAAAAATGTTTGGATGTGTGAAATTTGAAGAGAGTTGGATGCTTATTTTTCGTTTTTTTTTTCAAAATTTTGAACCATTTGTGGGGAAGTGTCAGAAAGCGTGCGCCGATATATCCCATTTCCACAGCAGATCTTGTCTTGATAGAAATATTGAGCTGTGCCAGGTCTAAATGGAATCGGATGTTAATTTCGCGTCTTATGAGCTTCATAGATATTTAACATTTTGACCCTTTGTGGGGCAGGTACCGG